TGTTGACAAGTATCACACAAATCAGTTCTTGGACTCATAATTTGAATTTCTGGTGTCAATTGATGTCATAATTTTCTGAATGCATCATATTTTAAGGATTTCAAATTATTATCTTCTTCTAGACCAGCCAGAAAATCCCTGTACACAGATTTATAACTCATTTCAGCTGGTAAGAATGTGATTGATTGAGTTATTCTATTGATATTTCTTCATGGACTTGGTAATCCATGGACTTCTGCATAATTTTCTAGAAAATTCTTTATTACTTCAGCAACATTTTTATCAATCACCATTTTAGTTTTCCATTGAGGCATTCTTTTAATATTACCACCAATATGGTATAGGCGTAAAAAGAGATGAAGAGAAGGCATTTGACATATATACAAATTTATTATTGTTAAATTGTAAAGAAAGTAAAATTATCTACTACTTGCTTGGAATGTGTTATCAATATGGAACTGATATAAAAAAGGAATATTGTGAGGCTTTTGAGTGTTATTTAAAGTCAGCTGAAGAGAAAAATAGTAATGGACAATATAGACTTGGATTTTGTTATCAATATGGAATTGGTACAAAAAAAAATTATAACAAGGCTTTCCAATGGTATTTAAAATGTGCAGAAAATCAAAATAGTGTTGGTGAATATAATATTGGATGTTGTTATCAATTTGGAATTGGTATACAACAAGATTATGAAGAGGCTTTTGAATGGTATTTAAAATCAGCTAATCATGAAGATAGTGATGGTCAATGTAATGTTGGATATTGTTATCATTTTGGAATTGGTATAGAAAAGGATGAAAATAAGGCTTTTGAGTGGTATTTAAAGTCAGCTGAAGATGAAAATAGTAATGGACATAATCAACTTGGACATTGTTATCAATATGGGATTGGTAAAGAAAAAAATTATAATCAAGCTTTTCAATGGTATTTAAAATCTGCAGAGAATCAAAATAGTGTTGGTCAATACAATGTTGGATATTGTTACCATCATGGAATTGGCATTCAACAAGATCTTGACAGGGCTTTTCAATGGTATTCAAAATCAGCTGAAAATGGAAATAGAAATGGTCAAAATCAACTTGGATATTGTTATCAAGATGGAATTGGTACAGAAGAAGATACCTACATGGCTACAAAATGGTTTAAAAATGCTTCAAATAACAAGCGAGATAATTGGAATATTTCTATAGAAGAAAATACAACTATTGGTTCACATAAGATACCACTCCAACCACCCACAATAAAAAGACCTAACATAAAGAATTTTAATATGGGAGATTTTTTTAATGAAATATTAGAATTATTTATGACTAAGATAGAAATTAATAATCATCATCATGTAACTAAAATTTTGATGAATTATATAACCCAGAATGATGCAAACTCAATTGAGTTATTTGATTATATGCAAGATTGTGATGATGATGTTAATGTTAATAATATAAAGCTTATATTGGGATTTTTTTACCAATGTGGAATAGGTACCAAAATAGATGCAAAAATAGCATTTAATATATATCTGAATTTATCAAATTATGGTGTAAAAGATAAAATTGTTGGCTATTTACTTGGATATTGTTATCATCATGGAATTGGAATACAACAAGATCTTAATCAGGCCTTTCAATGGTACTTAATATCAGCTGAAAATGGAAATAGCAATGCTCAACGCAATGTTGGATGTTGTTATCATTATGAAATTGATGAAATCAGGGATTATAATAAGGCTTTTGAATGGTATTTGAAATCAGCTGAAAATGGAAATGGAGGTGCCCAATTCATTGTTGGGTTTTGTTATCATTATGTAATTGGTGTAGAAAAAAATTATGGTAAGGCATTTGAATGGTATTTAAAATCCGCAGAAAAAGGAAATAGTAATGGTCAATATAGTGTTGGATATTGTTACCATTATGGAATTGGTACAAAAAAAAATTATAATAAAGCTTTTCAGTGGTATCTAATGTCAGCTGAAAACATGAATAGTAATGGTCAAAATAGTGTTGGATATTGTTATGAAAATAAAATTGGCACAGAAAGAGATGTTGATAAAGCTACTAAATGGTATAAAATGGCTTCAAGGCATGGGCATTCAAATTCAAATATTGAAATAGTACAAGTTAAAAAAACTACAACCATTAAAAAATTTTTTAAACTTTTTTGAAAAAATATTTCATTTATTTATTTTGTTGATATTAGATTATTTATTAAGAAAAATTTTGTATAATATTATTTCACAGAACCAATATAAATAAAACTTTGGAGCACATTTACTAATTAAAAGAAATGATTGACTGTGTTTGTTAAATTGTTATGTAATATACCAAATTTATATTACACTAAAATTTATGCAAAACAATGGAAATCCAAAAAAAAAATTTTTGTATAAGATATTGGGCATGCAACAGCCATCCTGGATGTCACTGAAATTGTTCATTGCACACCCAATATTATTTAATAAAAATTTAGAGAAAGTTATATAGGTAGTTGCCATTTAGAAGGTTTAGGCTAATATTTTATATATATACATAGTAATAGTAATAGGTTGTAAAATAATAAAATTGGATGATCAGCATCTTAGTAAAATTTCGTTTGATGCATCCAATTGTAAGAAATAATTAATATTTATAATATTTATAATATTTATAATATTTTAAAGTTTTTCTTTTACATTTCATTTATTTCATTTCTACATAAATAATGATGATTAAAATAATTAAATAATGCAAGCAAGCAGCAATAATATACAAATTGTCAAAAAGAAGAGAGATATTTAATATTATTATTAAAATGTGTCAACAAATTGTGATTAAAATCAATATAAATAACATTACTAAATATTAACTATAAATAAGTTTTGAGTATTATGTGCAATAAAATCCAGACTTTCTTTTGAATTTAAGATCACTCAATTCAATCAGTACTTATCAAGATACAAAATATATGGTAATAGGTAAAGAATTACCACCTATCATACAATTAGATAAAGCATTCATCAAGTATATTTACAAACTTGCTTTTCAAGCTTATTAGATCTCATTTAGTGTTGGTTAATTAGTTTTAGAGAGATTTATAAAAAAACAGTTTTATGAAGTAATGGCAACATGATTTTTTTAAATATTTACTTTTGTATCTATTTTTATATTAATATTTTTTGGGAATTGTTATTCGCACCCCTCCCGTGACTAAGTGTAGTAATGTGACCAAAGAATGCCTTTAAAATGTGATGATTTTATTGGTTCATCTTTGTCTTAGTCACGGGAGGGGTGCAAATAACAATCCGTCTATGAGTGAGTTGTACATAGCAGGGCTGGAAATAGTACTTTAAAATCCGGATTTTCCTTTAAAAAATTTTAACTTCTGGAAAAAAAAGAGTTGCCGGATATTTTTCCTTTTCCTTTTTATTTTTTTTTGTACAGATTTCCCATCCACATAAAAAAAATTTATACTAAATAATGTATACATATATGTGTATCAATATTTTAGAAAAGAACCATAATTTGTATCCTTTGAATTTTCTGAAGAAAAGTATTGACTTAATTAAATCTTATTTCACTGCCATTAAATTATTAAATTTAAAAATATATACACTTTAAATATGAATTTATGTGTATTTGTTTTCCCTTATTTAAAAAAATAAATTATAAATAAATAGTATAGAATAAGAGGAATTAGATAATCTAACCACTGAAATTTGGGATGAAGCATTTATGAATGAAACAGATATAGAAGGTTCAGATGATTTGACAATTCAAGGCTCAGATAATGATGATACTTCAAAAAGATCAAATAAAAAAAAGTGAATTAAGTGAAAACCATATTAAAATGTCAAATAAAAAAGTGCATTTTAAAAATCAGGAAGAAGTTTTCATCATGAATGGCTAAACACATATAAATGGTTAAAATATGATGCAGCAATGTTGTATGTGAATTGCGAATTCACATAATTTCATTTTCATGTACAACAGCAATAAAGAGAATGTTTTGCACAATTTGTAAAGCACATGGGAAAAAAAATCAATTTGCAGAAAAAGGTGACAAATAAATATAATTAATTTTGCAATTATTAATTTGCTATACTTTAATGTTATTATTTAGGATCAAAAAATTACTGCTCTAGCAACTCATGCACTTTCAAACCAACATGATGGTTTTTTGCTTCTAGAAAAGGCAAGAATAACCATGCAAGATTCTTCCAAAAAAGCCACTAATAATGGTAACAAACATATAATTAATATAATGAAAATGATTTACTGGATGGCAAAAGAAAATATTCCAATTTCTAAACTTCCAAGTCTTATTCATATCTTAAAACTTATAAAATAGTGCACTCAATTCCATTTTCTAGTGTAGATTGTGAAAGAGGTTTTAGCAAACAGAATATTATCAAAACAGATTTATGTAATGCAATGGAAAATGACATATTGCACTTATTAATGATGGTTGGTTTAGAAGGTACTGATTTATTTTGTTATGATGGATTTCAACTTGCTATCTTCTTCTAGACCAGCAAGAAAATCTCTATGTACTGATTTATAACTCATTTCAGCTGGTAAGAATACAATTGATTGAGTTATTCTATTGATACTTCTTCCTGGACTTGGTAATCCATGGACTTCTGCATAATTTTCCAGAAAATTCTTTACTACTTCAGCAACATTTTTATCAATCACCATTTTAGTTTTCCATTGAGGCATTCTTTTAATATTACCATGAATTCTTGGTAGAAGACCATTATTTATCAGATGATTTCTATATTTTCAAAGTAAGTTCTGCCAATTCCTAGCATATTTAGATAAGTTTCTTGACAAAGAGGTGTATTGTAATCTCAGTGATAAAAAGTTCTTTTGTTAGATCTATTTTTCTTTTTAGGGCATCTACTAGTACTTATTGATCCACTATTCATGGCTTTAAGTTGTGCCATCAAAAATATGTCTTGTTCTGGTTTAGAGAGGGCTTGAAAGGATTCCCTTAATTCTGCAAATTGCTCTTTGGGAATTCTTGAAGAGCAACCACATTTACAAACCTTTTCTAAAAAATCAATTGCTTTTTCATATTCATTAGAATCATTATACTTATTATTACTTTTCATATACACTTATTCCTATACATATAATTTTATGTTCACTTTGTAAGGTTTTTCAATTAAGTTGGTCTTTGTGGAATGAGCATTTTCAAATTTCTTTATATAATAAAAATTCAATTAGAGCAATAAAGGATAATCTTTATTTATTATTGTTTAATAAAACAGTTGAAAAAATGATAAAATAAAATTTTTGATACAGAACACAATGAAAAAGGACACTTGAATCAGAAAAATATGAGGTATAAAAAATAGGAATAGATTTAATCTAAAAATGGAAATTTGTTAATACATCTTTTGGTATTTTTGTTCACCTATTGCAATCTTCAATATCTGTAAATTGACATTTTTTTCATTCATCCATTATGACATCTGCACGTTTTGTACCAATCCCTGTTATTGCTGTCAGAACAGTGTAAACTGCTTTATTTATATTTGGTGGATTTTGTTGGGAATAAATAAAGGCACACCCAGAAAAAGGGCCAAAATATGAATTCCACACTTCACAATTGCTGACCTTGGTGGAAGTGATGTGATATCACATTTTCCAGTTGTGAACAAGATAAACACATCTGTCTCAGGTTCAGCTGCCTTATTATATTCTTCCATAAACAATTGTTCATTGATTGCTGCAGATGCTTTAATGAATTTACACTGATAACTCTCAACACTGAAATTTTGCAAATTAGCAATGTAAATGGGACAAAAGCAATTTCCATAAGGCACCTTAAGTTTATTAATGATACAATGGGATGCTTCTGCCAATTGTACATTAACCTTTTCACATTGCACTGTCCTTGTACCACTACTTGATTTTGTACTGGTCCATACTGTAGCTTTCTCTAGTATTAAGGCTTTGTTTATAATCTTTATGTCACCAAAATTATGCCATGCTCCACTATGAAGTTCCTTTAAGTCAACGTGTTGATTAGGATCAAAAACCTATGATTTTAAAACTCGAATCCTTCCAATAAACTCTTCAAAATGCTGCCAGTATTGACATCCAGGAGGTACTGATAAATCTTCATTGTGTTGAACTTCTTGGTAGTATTTAAAATTCCAGCTCTGTAATGTGGGGTCCTCAGATGCATTTGATAAAAGCCAAAGCCATATGTATGGACAGGTTAGACGTCCCCAATCTTTCATTTTCAAACTTAATTAGACCCAGTTTTGAAAAGTCTTCTGGTTTTAAGTTAGTCCCTGGAATAACTTTATTTGCTTCTACTATAACTTGTGTTAGAATTATACGAAGAATTGGCTTCAAATAAGATGTTTGGCTAATCCATTCATTGTAAAAATCTGATAATTTTGCATAAACACCTTCCATTATGGTTAGAAAGCTAACTTTTTCTAAATCTTTATCATTAAGAGCTTCATCTAGTGCTTCTAATGCCCGACCATGACCTCCCATATCACTAACAAGCATGTCAATAAGATTATTGTTAACAAAAACAGGCATTCATTGTCTTTTTGGTGGTGATAAAGATGGTATTGGTAAAAACACTCGCTTTTGATGTGAAGCACTCACAAAAACATGAAAAGGTCTGCTAAGTGTTGCTGTGGAACATCCTATCACAAATGGTCCTGATGCAGCAAAGTTATTCAAAACTGTCATACATGAATAGAATAGTGATGATTTATTTACTCCATTATCTTCCTGGTGAATTGCTGCTTGCATCCCATCAATCACAATAATGATGGTCAAATCCTTAGGTTGGACATTTTGATGTTTAGCAATCTTTGACACTACTTCATCTGGTGATACATCTGGATATTTTCGAAGTGCTTCCATCCAGCCACCTTTATGTTTTTCTAGCTGAAAAAGCATTCGTTTTGCAATGGCAGTTACAGCATTACATTCTTCTAATAGGTCTATTTTAGTGCCATTTTCAAAAGAGATGTTAAATACTAATGCATTTTCAAATCGTTTTTTCAGTTCTTCATGGGAAGCAAACTCTTCATGCAATATATTTGGTAACTCATTTGCATTCCTAGATTTTCCTTCTCCTGCACCAGCAATCATAAAAAATAGTGGTGTGGTGCTTTTATCCAGTTGCTGTTTTGTGTAATTTTTGTAGTATTCAGTTATGGTTGTTCTTAACAGTTCCCTCAATTCATTTGATTTTTGATAATCCCAAGAATATCCACTTGTTCTAAAAAGTGGTTCTGGTAGCAGGTATTCCAACTCATCTAATGGCAAAACTTACAATAAATTTGATGATAAATAAAGCAAAATATTCATTGGAATATTCAAGCGCAAATAATCCAAGAGCATAAGTTAATTACAAACTAATCAGCAGCAACATAAATAACAGTATATAAATGCTTACCTTCATTGACTAAATTGGCGAAGAATCCAAAAAGAATCAAAATCGAAATATTGAAGGAAAAAACCACAAGTCATAAACAGTATACAAATAAATAAATAAACAAAATGGAATTAACGAAAAATAAATTTTTTTTTTACACAATTTGTTCATTACCTTTTTCTTTATCCTTTTCAATCGACACATATCTCTCCAAAAAAATTTGTCTTCTTCTAACTTCCCCTCCTCGAGTAATTTTACTTCAACTTCCCATTTATTTTTTTCTTTATAATCACCCCATTCTTCTCCCGCTAGCTTTATCTTCAACTCACTCAATCTTGCCAGTTTTCCTTCCACTTCCAATTTCCTTGTGCAAAGTTTAATTTATTTTCAAAAGTCATCATTTGTAAAGATTCATAAAAATGAATTTTTAAAAAAAATTTTTTTTTTTATTGATTTAGAATCGCAAAAAAAGTCTTCGTGTTTAATAAAATACCGAAGCCCAATAAAAGAAAAAGACTAATTCATAATGCACGTGCAGTCAAAAAAATGAAAACTAATTCCCCAGAATCTTTACTCCTTGTAGAATCTCCCGTAAGATTATTTATTTTATTAAGCATTTTCTTCAAAAGGAAAAGATTTTCGAAGGAAAAATTTTATAATAAAATCGCATAACTTTGAATTCTTATAAATCCTTAATCTACTAATGATTTTTAAAACAACTCCCTGTAGGATATTTTTTGAACCACAGAGAAAAAAATCTATGGAAATTTTTTCACTCTAACTTGTTTGGTTATTGAGTCTATACGTTTCAAAGCTTAACAGTATTTTTAACATTTTGGATGATTTTACTAATAAAATTAAAAAAACTCTGTCAGGATATTCTTTGAATCACAGAGAAAAAAACTATGGAAATTTTTTTACTCTAACTTATTTGGTTATTGAGCCTATGCGTTTCAAAGTTTAACAGTATTTTTTAACATTTTGGATGATTTTACTAATAAAATTAAAAAAAACTCTCTGTCACCATGTGGATCATTACATTTGTTATAATATCACTTAATTTTATAGTTGTATCTTTTTTTTTTTGAATGAGAAGATGCAATTTTTATTTTATAATTGTTTATTAGTAAATTTTATATATGATGTTAATTAGTTTTGATCTACATTAGTCCATCGTACCACCCAATACCACACACGTGTGTGTTTGTCAATCAAATAAAGATTTCTTTCTTTTTAAGATGCCAAGAGACAATAAAAACAAAACCAAAAAAAGAAGAAAACAAGGCGACACTGAAAACATATATGGATAAGTGTTTATCATTAAATGGTGGTTGTTATTGCCACTACTCATCATTCTAGTTTCTATATAAGATTGGTGATAGTGATTTAATTCACAACTCATTAGTTAATAAATTGAAATTTGGCCTTGCATTACCTAGGGTACAATTATCTACAACTTCTAATGCAAAAAAAAAACAAAAAAAAAGAAGATAAAGAGAATGTTAGTTCTGTCCTTGATAACCTTGAAAAAGAATTAGAAGATGGGCCATTAAATGAAGTATGTATTAAATCAAACTCTGATTATCATTTTCTTTGTTTTCATTTTACCATTAAGTTGATTATACTTTTCAGTGGATTATAGAAGAAATAAACATTATAAAAAGTTTCAAAGTTTTCAAAACCATTCAATTCAAAAAGCAAGGGAATCTAAATTAAGCCAAAATGATGTTTATGAAAAATTGTATTTTGACAGAAGAGAGAGATTATTTTATATATGTATAATTTGCTATCTATTTTTTGTGATGTTTTTCTCACTTGATTTATCTTTGTAATTGTATTTAGAACACTAGCATCAATAATGGTAATCCATATCCCGAATTTACATCTAACGAATGGAAAAAAATACTAGATTCAAATTAACACAAAATTAGTTATGCATTACCAAGTGATATTTCAACAGCTTTAAATGCAGCTGCCCTTAAAACAGTATTTGATGATAATATTTTTATGACTGAAAATGATAATGAGTTAAGCACTATTAGTTGTAATGTCTTCAATGGATTGTGAGTTAAAATATGATTTACTTTTTATCATCATTCTGGAAAGAAAGTTAAAATGCAAAATCAATAATTAATTTGTTTGATATATTTTGGATGTAACTTGCCTGTTGAATCTGCAAAATCAACTGAAGATTTGCACAGCTTCATGCTTTTACATCCAATAATAAGACCTATCTTTGTTCCACCAGAAGATTATAGCATAGTGCTTAACAAATCAACATATGAAACAAGGAAAGACCTGATTTTACATTCTTAGTTGATGAAATTGCTGTGTTAAATACTGAAATCAAACCCGTTGGACATACATCACTCCAAAAGAACAAGGATATAGTAAAAGCACACACTAACGCCAAAAGATCAATAAACAATCTATTAAAGAAAAAAGGAGGACCTTCAAAAGCTATTGTTCTTCTTAATATGGGTAATTATATAATAAACTGCTGTCATTTTTATTCATGTTTTTGAATGTGGACATTATTTGTATAAACTAGGGAACATTGTTGAATCTTATGTCATGGAGTTAAACTGTTACAAGATATACTGTTCATGGCTTCTATGCCTTTAATTGAATCAAATATTACCCATTTTCTGGCACTCAAAGTATATATCATTTTTTACCATAATTTTTTATTTTCTAAAGCTTATGGTAAAATATCTTTTCCCTTTAACATAGGAGCAACTAATTGATATTTGCACAGATTTTAAACAAAGAAGTAAACAGTTCATGCCACCCTTCCAGATATCAGAAAATTCTAACTAAAAAGGTTATCAGAATAAGCAAGTAGTTTTTTATTTAATTATTAGTGTTTAGATGTTCCAATACTTGGGGGAAGATTATAGCTAGAACACTTATTTTTATATTTGAATAAATACCAAGGGTGGTGATTTATTTGGGGAATTAATCACACAGAATATGGTGCACCTTTGATATTTTTTAAGAAATAAAGTCGCATCAAGAAGAGATGCTAATATATATATTATTATAATTATATAATGAGGTAAAGGTGACAATCTTTATATCAATTTATAGATTTATATATATATTTTATTATTAAGTGGCAAGGCTCAGATGAATAGTGGCAGATAAACTGATTTTTATTGTGGAATATTTAAAAAACCACATTTTGCACACTGTGTTCTTTTTGCAAAATTATGATAGCCGCACATATCATTACCACATAACCAATCTCCAGGTTTCATATTAACTATTGATGCAATGTTATTTATAGCATTAGGTGGTTTAGGTAAACTACAACGAATACACTGAAAACGTGATGCAAAGTTGTGTGAGTTGCAAGATGGACAATACCAATCGCCTGGTCTAAAAGGTATACTTGATGATGCAGATGATGGTGATGGTGATAATGATAATAATGACCCATGACCCATAACATTAGTTGTACCATATAAACCACCTCCCTGTTGTTGTTCTATTATTGATGACGTTAAATTCCCATATGTATCATAACCTGAATGATTTGATGTTCCACATCTCATGCATTGAGTTCTTGATGCAAAATTCTGAAAAATACAATTTGGATTTGGGCAAATCCAATCGCCTGGTCTAAAAGATATACCTGACGATGTGGATGATGTTGACGATGTTATTGATAATGGTGGTGTTGATGTAGACGATTGTCCATAATTACCATTACCACTAGGTTTATAGGTTCCACATCTTAAACATTGAGTGCGTGATGCATAGTTATGAAAACTGCATGGTAAATTTGGACACATCCAATCGCCTTGTGTAAAATTATGTGGTACTTGTTGCACCACGGGAAGAGGATTCGGATTGATGGTATTGCACTTGAAACATGTTCTCCTTGAAGAAAAATTATGAAATTGACATATTGAACATATCCAATCACCTGGACGAACATGATTTTTTATCATCTATTATAAATTAATTTTAAAACGAATTAATGTATTAATTTGAGACATTAACAATATTCGATAATATTTAATATATACCTGAAACGGTGATAACATTGATCCAGCAGCTTCGATTATTCTTTCGCTACTTGGACTAACTTCTATAACTCGATCACCTAACGTTCTACCATTCATATCCAAACAAGCCATAGAATCTTCATGAGTAGCGAAAATTGCAAACCCAATTCCACTTGATTTTTGATTATCAGGTGGTTTAATCATCGACAATGTTGTAGGTCTTACACCTTGACCCGAAAACCATGCTTCTAATTCAGGTTGTGTAACATCGTGTGGTAAGCCTGCTAAATGGATTACTTTAGACTGTTCTTTTTTAAACTGATTCAAGTCTGCACTTGTATCTATTGGATTAACGAAAACATCATGATGACCAAAAGAACAAAAATATCTGACAACGTTGACCATGGTTAAAACATCATTCAATCCTGATTCATGAATTTCCACTATTATTAAATCAAAAGTTGAACTCATTTCTTGCAATGAAAGAGTTTTTAGCGTCATATCTGGATGATGAACGTGCCATCTTTGATATTCTTGCTTTAAATCAAACATTCTACAATGTGTTAAATAACTTGACAGTTCGATTTCTTTATCTTTTGCTTCTCTTGGTAATTGGATCCTTAAATCCCAAGCTCCATGTGTACAAAAACAAAAGGTTTTATTTTCAGCAAGTATTTTGTTCTGAATATAATCGTCTAACGCATCAATTGCATCCTTTAAATTTCCAGCGAATTCAAGTTGATCCCAAGTTATGTTTGTAAGAGTGGTGCAAAAGGTTGTTAATAGAGTAACTTTAGGTTTTACATATTGTGAATGTTGGTATACCTGTCAATAAAAAATCATTAACATTAATTATATTATTGATTTATTAATTGTAATTAATTAATTAATAAATAATAAATAAATAAATAAATAAAATAAATAATGTACGAACCACTTCAAAATTTTTTGTATCTACTATTGCCCATGCAAATTCAATAATTTCTGCCGTTTCCTAGTTTTTATTTTTATTATTTTATTTAATAATAAGAACCAACAACGAGTTGCAAGCCAGGTAATATAATTTCATTAAAATTTTTAGATAACTTCAAAAAAAAAAAAACAAAATTTTTAAAAAAAAAAATCAGGAAATGGCTCAAGAACACGTATAAGAGAACCCGAAGCCACCCATAAAAAGATAATAATTCTATCGATTATATGATTAATGTGTATGTGTGTGCGTGTAAATAAAATTAATCAACTCAACCTTACAAAAACTTTTACGTTGTGACTGTGAGGCCTTCGTTACTTGTATAGTAGATTGTGATATTTCTTCAGAGATCGTAGCTTCAAGATTAATAATTATAAGGTAATCAATACCAGGACAATGAGTATTTTCAGTTGAAGACGACATTTTGATTTTTTTATAATTGTAATGTTTTTTCCAAAAAAATGAAATTAATAATAGATTTTGGTGCCGATCACGTGTGGACAAAAGTTATTGAGGATTTTTTATTGGATAAAATGCAGATCAAAAATTGATATATAAGAGTATTCAATAACATATACTTATTTTTTAAAATTCCAAGGTTTTTTTTTTATTAGATACTATTTTCATAATATTTATTGATGATGATTTGATGGGTTTACTATTTTTATTAACTAAAAAAATTTAAGAAGTTCGGGAGCTATTTTTGTATATTAATTTTGTCCAATGAAAAATCTTCATATATTATCATCATAGTCTATTTGTAACACCCCAATAATTATAATATAAGTTTTATATTATTTATGAACTTTATTTAATTGCATCGGAGCTCTCTACGGTGCAGATCATCTATAATCAATTAATTGCTTATGGTAACAATTAGTCAGTTTCAAAATACTAAAACAAAAAATTTTTATAACATTTTAAAAAAGTTAACCAATAAGTTTTATTGTTCATGACTCAAGCTTCAAAACTTATTTAGCCTTAACATTTTGAAAATCCAAAATTTGTTATGAAATTGAGACTAAGTAAATTCTGTGTAACAATTGTTTTCATATATTTCTTTTTTTTTTCTTTACAAAAAAAAATATTCAGGGATGGGGACGGTTTATGTCACGTGATATGACGAATAATTGATCCGTGACGATTAATATACTAATTTACAGGTGACAGTTATATTGCCAAAACAAGACAAATTAATTGTCACCTGTAATTTAGTATATTAATCGTCACGGATCAATCATAAAAATATTATTCGTCGCCTCACGTGACATAAGCCGTCCCCATCCCTAAACAAACAACAGGAGAGACTGTTCTGGGAACACAAAATTAACAGGAGAGAACACAAAATTTTAACCCATGCCATTTATTGATTGACAAATTAAAATCGCGAATTTGATAAACGTAGAAATAAATATGGGTCTGATTCATTTTGTCAACAATTGCTTCACCAACAATTGTTTCATTAACGAATTTAAGAAGTTGGAAGCAACCATTGAAATAGTCTAATAGATTAAATTGTACTACTTGTAAATGTATTTAAAGGGTTGGTTTTTGACTTGGTTGAAGAATAATTCTCTTCCTAACTCTTCTCTTGACCATATCTCTCAATATAATCAAAATAACCTTAATATAATGAATGTCAATGAAATGATTGTAAACACAACAAATTTAAGATACATGATTGTGATGAAAAATGAACAATGTATGAAAAATCAAACAAATTTATTTAATAAAAACAAATTTACAACCAAAAAAAATTTTTTTTCATGTTCTAATAAAATTTCCATTGTTGCTGTCATCTGTTGCTGATTCAACATTGCCCAGATCATCATCAACTGTATTTTCATTATTTTTGATAAATTCATTTTCGTTTAATATTTTTCGTCGTACTTTCTTTTAGTGTGTTGACATTTTTTTTGATTTCAACTTGAAGATATCAAACATTTAGATTGACATCTTTGTAGACAATGATTGTGATAACCATGTACACACATGAGTATATACACTACAATTATTCAAATTAGTATAGTTAGTGTAATCACATTATACGTAATTGCAAAAAATGTTTGTAGATGGTAACAAAGTTTTAGTAATTAAAGGATACTGATTGTCTCTGGATGTGAATCAATGATAATCATCAACATTCAACAAGAATGTATTTTTTGAATATTTTGTAAGTGCATTCTCTACATATTTCTCATGTTCATCTGCAACTTGCTTCTTTTTATGATCTACTGCTCCTGATGTTGTAGTTGCTCCAAGACTTGTATCTACCAAGTCTAAATAGAATGCAAGGTTGAACTTAAAAGAGTTAATTTTTGTATTATTTAATAAAACAAGAAGATAACACATGAACACCACCATTAATCTCTTCATATGGTCCATTATTTGTTCATTACATTCAAATGGCCAAGCTGCTAAATAGAGTTGGTCAAAAAACCCCTTCAAGCTTGGTTCTATTTCTTGGAGCAATCCTCATATTTCATCAAAATTGTATATAGGACCTTGATGCTCTAGTGAAATCAAATCTTTTTGCTTACCTCTTCCTCTTCCCCTTCCACATCTGTGGTTTTCACTCTCCTATGTTCTCTTTTTAAAAGATTTTCTACAAAATTCATATAACAAATGTTACATAAAACAACACATTACTTTCACTAAGTTGTTGCTGATAAACTTGTGAAAAAAATATTTTTTATAACCAATGGTATTTTTTTTGAAGTTTTAGAAAAGATACCTTTAAAATATCAAAAGAAGGTCGAGGATTTTTTTTACAAGCATGTAATTTTAACTAGGATTGATTTGTGAACTTTATATATACGTGCAACATTAATGGTCCCAATTATAATTACAAGGTAACGCCCGAAGTGCCTCTTTTTTCTGTGATACACTAAAAAGATTTTATTTTTAAAAAAAAATTTTTTTTTATTGATAAGCCATTAATAAGAGAAAAAATAAAAATGCAGATTTTCGTAAAAACACTCACTGGTAAAACCATAACTTTAGAAGTCGAAAGGTGACTTTATTAAAATGTTCCTTTTTTATAGCTTTTTAAGCCAAGATGTCTATAATAAAATCTTTTTAATAATATAGTTCCGATACCATTGATGCAGTAAAAGCCAAAATTCAAGATAAAGAAGGTATTACAAGCTGTTATTGATGATAATTATAATAAATATTTATATTATATTTGAATGAATTTGCGATGAATTGGATGAATTATTAATGTACTATTTTTTTTTAGGTATCCCACCTGACCAACAACGTTTAATATTTGCTGGTAAACAGGTAAAATTAAAGACAAAAGATGATTTATTATTTTATTATTTAATAATACTTAATGATACTTTAATTTGTAGCTTGAAGATGGTCGTACATTGTCAGACTATAATATACAAAAAGAATCAACTTTACATTTAGTATTAAGATTACGTGGTGGTATTATTGAACCATCCTTGAAGGCCTTAGCTTCAAAATACAATTGTGAGAAAATGATTTGTCGTAAATGTTATGCTAGATTACCACCTAGAGCTACCAATTGTAGAAAGAAGAAGGTAAATTTTGAATTTTGTGAGATGGCGATTTTTTTTTCTTTTTGTTACTTTGCATTTAATTTATTAATTTATGACTTTTATTTTATCATTTAGTGTGGACATTCTAATCAATTACGTCCAAAAAAGAAACTTAAATAGATTTATTATTCTTGTTGTCAAACTAATTTAATAAATAGGAAACGTGTATCTTTGATCACAATTTATTAAATAAATTCTATTTGTAATTTTGTATTTATCATTGACAATCACTAAACTACGATATTAATGATTGAGTCAGTAGTAGTAGCACAAGCTAAACCTTATCAAAGGTGATTGACTAGAGTTAAGATAGCCAATGATGGATTGTGTGAAAATATCTGGTCGCTTGTTTTCATTTGCTGTCATCTGAGTTGCAATGAAATGAACATCTATTCACAATTTTTTTGCGTTTGAACACAGAAATGCAGAGGACTGTCAAGGCTTCCATTAATTTTTTCTTACATGTATTCTAATGTCAACATATTGCACTTTGAAAATTCTAAACTCGGGGATCTTCAAAACTACAAGATGTCGTTTTCCTTTGGTATGAACATTAAAGTGCCCAAGTGTCATTTATTTTAAAATCATTTTTTCATCTTGTTCTTCAAAATATTTCTGATTGTGTACTATAATTCTTGGGTTCCATAATAGCCATCAACTCTGATGCAATCGCCACTAGCCAAAAATGGGGACCTACATCGCCAAGCAACTACAATCCCAACAAAAGGATAATTGTCAAATTTGGTGATGCAACGTTGAAGCTTATCTAAGGAATCTAAGGAAAGAAAGGATTATACCTATGAAATTTATCAAGAAGAAAGAAAATTATAACCAATAAACCAATAATACGTATTTCCCTTTTTCCAAATTCCCGTAATACTACATGGGGTCAGTACAGCATAGTGGAAATTTTGAAATGTTACATTAATTTTTTATATTGTGCAACATAACTTTACAATACACGGCAAACATTCTGGCAATAGATAAACTGGATTTAAACAATTTAGAGAGAGAGGTAACAACTATATATATACCGGCGAAGTTTCAGGTCCACTATTCTGATCAGTACTAGTTCACATCATTTACCGAATTATTATAAAAACGACTTTTACAAAAATCTCCATTAATGATTATATTGTAGCGAAGACTTGAATTATAAAAAGCATGATTAACTAGTCAATGAATAAAGTTTTAGTTTTTTCTTAAAATTGATAGTTCTGCTCTAAAGCAGTCAAAGAAAAAAAAATCCAAGATTTATTACATCATAAAAGCCTGTTGATTACATTTTTTATTTATTTAATAATAATGAATGGTAGTAATTTATTAATACTAATGCTTTTTATCGTACGAACCACGAATTAATTTTAATAACAAACTTTTAGTTGCAGCAGCTGGAATAATTCATTTGGGACAACAGAAAATGGAGATTTAATTATTTACATAATGGTAGAAAGAATTAAGTATATATAAAGGTCTACCAACTTTGAGTTCAACCAGCTTGGCTCCAGGTTAGAATAATAAAGATAGATAAATAGATATGTAATATATGGATAATTGATGACAAAGTGATTTAGATTTAATATTAAGAAATTTTTGAACATGAAAAAAAAAAAATAGTTGTTGACATAATTTTGGTTTTATTTGTAATTAAAAAAAAAACTTTTTTTGCAATTTGTAATAACAAATTTTATTATCATAAATGAAAATGCATCATAGCTATATAATGCTTTTTAAAGAACCTTGAAAGAATACCTGGTGTTTAGAAATGCAAAATAATAATGTGTATTAATTATCCGTTGACATAAATAGACAGTGATATTAAACAAAACAATTTCATACCAAATTAAATTTTAAATTTAAATTTTAACCCAAAAAAGGTGATATAACTAATTATATTTTTGCGACACGTTTTACGAAAATTTTAATTTATCAATGGATCAAAGTGTTACAAAAAATTCAAAATAAAGTTTCATATCTTTAGTAATATATATCATACATATCATATGGAGAATTTCTCAATGAAAAAAACTTCACTAACGTATTAAAAATTTCATTGTTGATTTATTTATATTTATATATAATATTATGCCATTTTTGAATTCTATTAATTTTTTTTTGACTATTTAGAAATCCAAATGATAGAAATAAAAATACCAGATATGTTGAATATCAAATAGACCATGATGGAAATGATGATAATTATGAAGTGGATAACGATGGAAACGGTGATGACGAGGAAGATACACATAGAACAAGTAATAGTAAACAAAATTCTTATAGCGATAAATATGTAACTGGTCAAAAACATTATCAACTTAAATCAAATACTCAGCAAACAGTTTCAAGAAAAGGTTATTATGACAATTTTATTTTCGAATATTATAAACTTAGATATGGAGATAATTTTTTAAGTAGTGATATGAAAGAACATAATGTGAATTGGGATGATGATACTTCTAATGGTTCTGATGACGATGATGATGATGATGATGATGATTCAGAAATTGAAAAGAATCAATCTGAATTTCCTTTAGATGATTTTGATGGCGATAATACAGTAGTGGATTCTAACCCTTCAACCGTGACAAATAGTGTCAAACTATCTGCTGAAAAGCAAAGAGAAAGAAAAGATTGGCAAAGTTTTTTATCATCTGTGTTAACTGGCGAGGTTATAAAGTCTGAGAAACAAAGAATTAATTCAAACACTCGTCAGGCTGCAAATAATAATAATCAAATTTGGTTAGGAATTCGAGCTGTTACTCATGGTTATCAACTTTCAGAAGAAAAACAAATTTTGGATGAAAAGAGACGTCAAATTGATGTCACGCTTAAGGAAGTAATCAACTTTCAAGTACAGCTAAATGATGTTTCAGCTCTCGTTCAAGTTACAGAATTACTTCAAAAAGTTGATTTTTGTGAAAGCCTTTATCCAACACGAAAGGCAATGATGTCTGACAAGCCTTTATACAAATCAGAAAATTTTCAATATAACTTAGATGCATTAAATTCATGGTTAACAATAACTAGGAGTTTACAGACCCAACTAAAAATTCTGCAAGATTGGACCGGTAGTAAAAATTTAGAAATCACAAAACCAAAGGATTCTCCGGCCGATGCAGAAAATCCTTCTTTTTTAGAAAGAATATTGAAAGAAAACAGTTTGAAACAAACTTTTGAAAAGAAAACACTTTCCACATTGAATTCGCTTTTATCAAAAGCTAAGCGTGTAATGATTGAGAATGCTGATTCATTCGTTAAAATGAAATTACCCCCGTATATCAACGAGTTTCAACAGCTTTTAAACTTTCCCACAAAACTTATGGAGGAATGTATGAAGCTTTTACTTGAAATCTCTGGCCGTTTGACGGATCCAACGATGCTCATGATCCAACAAAGGATGGATGACTTTCGTATTTCGCTTATTTTGGCCTGTCAAATCAAACTTCAATATTTAAAATTAATAACACCAGCAACTGGGTGGGAAATTCCATCATGTATTGATGAAAATTATAACACTGTCTTACTAGAATCTTTAAAATTTTATTTAAAATTGTTACAATGGAAGGTTAAAGGTGGTTATAAAACAGTTTTTTTTAAGGAAGCTGAAATATTGGAAAATGAATGGTCATTTGTAAGTGGTATTTGTCGTGATATTGCTGGTGGTGAAATTGAGGTTGCTGAACAATTTTGGTATGGTTTATTTTTTTAATTTTTTTTTAAAAAAAGGGTTATCTAACAAATAAAAAATTTTTTGTCTTTTTTTACTAATTTATTTGTTTAAAAAAATTTTTCTGCAGTACACTTACTAACAAGCTACTTCAAAGTGTTTTAACTTATTATGAATCAAAACTTGAACTACCAAAAAATATTGATGCGGCAAACATTTATAAATGGTATAATAAAATTTTGGAAAGTGTACGTTTAAGGTCTCGTAAACTACTTCGATTCATAAAGTACGTATGGATTTAAATTATCATGAAATAAACAATAAATTTATCGGCCCAATTAATAAAATAAATAAATAAGGAGAAAGTTAAAAAAATGAGTATTGCTTTGAAAGTATTTTAAACAGGAAGATGAAGTTGTGAAATGTCAAGTAACTGTAAAACAAGGTGATAAAGAAATTATGCGTGGAAAAGAATTGGAGTTTTTTCAAATTATGAGTGGGATGTTGTATCATCTAAATGCAGAATATAGCATTGATAATGTTTTTAGAGATGATAGTGAAATAAAAAAGGCATAAGTTCACTTTCTCTATAACGGAATTATTATTATTTCATCAATTATTTAACCACTACAATTTGATTACTTTTTAAAATTATGAAAACAAAAAGAAGATGAATTAATGAAAGAAAATCAACTTAGAGCTCAATAAGGACTGAAAACAACAACCTTGTCATCAATCATCATCGTCATCATCTTCTTGACCAGGAACAGTGATAAAAGTATTTGAAAGACCACATGAAGGGATTAAGCTTTGATAATAGTTTGGGCTTTTCGATATTTTTTATAAGAATGAACATGAAAAAACTATATAAACTAACATATTTTAATTTAAATAATTTAATAATTTTTCCCAATTTCAGCTACATATGTAAAACTCGATAAATCGGCCAAAAATTTCACTCATTTTCTTAATATTTAAGTAATTAATTCGACAAGTCAGTTTGCTCGATAAATCAGTCACATGAGCTCACCCCCACACAACTGACTTATCGAGTTTACATATGTATTAATAAAAATAGTTTGGGCTATAAAGAATTAATTTTTGCCCAAAGTGTTTTGGCAATTTCAGCTACTAGGAGAGGTTATTGAGGACGGTCATACTTCCATAATGATATAGCTACAAAGCTTGATCATGGTGACTATGAAATTATGAGATGTTTCTGTATCTAGTTTTTTCACACACATGTAAGTTAATTGCTGAGTCCTGAGTCTTGACTTTTGTACTTGTTAAATAAATTTTCTTGTTTGCAAATAGGTTTACCGAATGTTTCACATTTGGCACCTTTTGGCTTCTAGTTAATCGGAAGGACCATCATGAGCTTGTGCATGCTCTAAGGGTCTTTTGGAATCTGGTGGTAAGTTTTATTTCCATTTCTTAGCATTAAAGTATTGAGCATTTTATTCTGACCATTCTTTTTTTTCACACAGATGGGCTTAAACAATACAATTAAAATTTGAAGAGCTTAAAAAAGCACATTGTAGAAATTCAGCTTGGCATCCACAAAGTCCTGCTTTAAATCATAATGTAGGTGATACTAAAACCTCATCATGATCATTCTCATTAATTGTGGTTTGCAAAAGATAAATATTATAAAATTAAAATTTTTTTAATTTTTTAATTCACTTTTTTTTTTTTGCTATAATATATTAATATATAATATATTGAATAATTTGATTTTGTATGTTTGTAAAAAATCAAAATTAATTAACGTTTGTAAAAAAACAAATTAATGAATATTGTTAATTAAAAGTTATTAATTGCCAATCCTTTTATAAACGGCAGAAAAATACTATATGGGACATCATCTGAGAAAATCAGTGAATTTTTTTTTTTGTCATTTTTGAGAAAATAATGCAGTTACATGTAATTTGAGTCGAGGAATCTATTCAGCTTAGAAATA